AGTAGTAAGGCCAGGAGCCTCTAGTAGCGTTCTTGCTCCTAGTAGTAGCCTCTAGTAGCGTTCTTGCTCCTAGTAGCGATGCCCTTTGTTCCGTTCGTAGCGATGCCTCCAGTAGCTTCTTATTGCTTCCCACTTCTCTTCCCACCTCTTTTTCGTTTCCCAGCGATCCAAGGCAAAGAGTTGGCCTTGGATTTGGGGATGGCTGAGGAGACGGATCGGTCTTCTCATTCCGTCGCAGGTCGCTCTTCGGAGCGGTCCTGGGGGGGTTCGTTGGCGATATGTTTTTGCTAAGTGATGTGCTCAGTTCCATCTCTGCGATGCAATCTGGGTCTCTAGAAACCCCCAAAAGGACTGGAGCAAAAATGCACCGCAAAGACCTTTGGACCGAAGAACATGGACAACGGGATAAATTTGTATCATGAGTTTCCAGGTTTTAGTCTGCAGCATGTCCCACAATCTACCAAATCTGTATAGAAATTTTAGGAACACAGTCGAGCCAACTTTGCGACCGAAGTGTCCTTTGATTTTGAGCCATCACGTCAGCTGACAACGGCCATTTAAGCCTTAAAAGCATTTAAAAGCACTCATGTTCCCAAACAGAAGCCAGTCCCAGAAGCTTGGGATCGTACTCATGCCGATGCCGTTTTGCTACTCCAGGACTACCCCGTTTCCAAGCTGCCTTGGACACCACGCCGACGTCCCAGCCGCAACCTGGCTGTTCACAGCCCAGTGGGTGGCGACTTCGTCATTTTGAGCCAAGCACCCATGTGTGTCTCCACAAGGGTCAGGTGTGAGGCAACTTGCCCGTTATGACAGTCACTTCGGTTCACCCCGGGCTTGCTAGGCAGCAAAGAAAAAACACAATCGGCAACTAAGTGGAACGGGGGAGTATACGTGCTCTCCCTATATTTGGTTTGCTGGGCCTAGATTATATATATAAATATCATTTGGCCCTGGAATGGACGAGCCAGTGAGCGAATCTGCACAATTGGAACTCCTCTTCTTTGGCACGTGGGGCTGCTTTTGTTGAGTATAGTTTGTAAGTAGGGTGTTTATCGAACACTTAATGTCACCTGTTCCACCTTGTGTTGAAACTTTAAGTCCAGAAACAGAGGTCTGTCCAAGTGTCACATGCCTGAAGGACAACTCACAGGATTATGTTGGGCGATGGCAGCCATACATGGCCAACCATCAAATAATTTTTTTTGTGAAAAAAAAGTGAAAAAAAAGCAAAATAAAAGCAAATGAAAATGCAAAAACAAAGCAAAAACAAAGCAAAAAGCAAAAACAAAGCAAAACAAAAAGCGAAAAAAAAGGGAAAATAAAGCGAAAATAAAGCGAAAAAAAAGCGAAAATAAAGCGAAAAAAAAGTGAAAAAAAAGCGACAAATATGTTTTTGCTGTACCCTCCTAGGAAAAAAGCGAAAAAAAGCGAAAAAAAAGCGAAAAAAAAAAGCGAAAATAAAGCGAAACAAATGCGAAAATAAAGCGAAAAAAAAGTGAAAAAAAAGCGACAAATACGCACAGCTACATTTTTTTGCTTTTTTGTTTGCTTTGCCTTTTGCTTTTTTTTTGCTTTGTTTTTGCTTTATAAAACTATTTTGGCTCCTTGTATCTATGGCTGGCGTGCCCGACATAATCACAGGAGATTTGGGGATCCAGTCAGCCTCACAGCCTTTGCGCCTGCACCCTGAACCCACCTTGCGGACGCTGCGGACGGTGAGATGCTTTTGTCCCACTTCTCTGATGAAAGGAGCATATGTGGAGAATCTAAGGAATATCACTTCTTCTGAAGTCAAACATTTTGATTGGGATGTTGAAGTGGAGTGAGCCCAGCTTGTTTTGATCTTAGCGCCCATTATATATGTGTGCCGCAAAAATGTGAGTGCTTTAAACGTGGAAAACATACGTGTTGTTTATTCAATGGCCCGAACCCACAAAGACCAGAAGTGAATGGTTTGGTTTGATGAGTGATGGCTCTCACACAAAACACCAAAACAACACCAAAACACCAATTTTGTGCTTGGAGCTCCCCCTCTCATTCCGATTTGGCTCCGATGTATCCCTTATGCTCCCAACGTTTGTCGGACCTGCAACCAGGCAATCGACTGATGCAAAGCTAATTCAAACAGCAATCCAGTCATGGCTGTCACTGCTTTCACCACCCATCTGCACATCAAAACACCGGTGTTTCCATGAGCCTTTGATGGTTTTTTCCACCCCGCACCTTGGAAAAACCATCTTGCGCCCCCCACGGCGACCCTGCCTGCAGGCGATTTCGGAGTCGTGTCGCCGATGGAGCCAGTGACCCGGTGGCGCCTCGCGCCGGCGCGGTACGTGGAGATGGGAGGAAGCCTTGCGTCGGTGAATGGTTTCCATATGGAGGTGGTGGGTGGTGATTGGGTGGTGATTCAACACATTGAGAGAACAAATATATACTAATATAGTACTAAAATACAATTATTATGTATATATAGTTGGATATTGTGTGTTTTGCTTGAATCAATTAACTGCTTAAGGAACCTGCCGCAGGCACCTCACGCAGGCGCCTCATGTGATCATATCGGACAGCCCTGCTGGTGTGTCCAGCCGAGGTGGCGCGCGAGATGTTGGTCGACCTACGTTTCGAGCTCCAGAGTCCGGCTTCCACTTCCGGATGGCTCAATGGGCGCCAACAAGTGCCTTATGGCGGGTGAGTGCCGATGTGGAATGCCCAGCGACGAGAGGAGCTGGAAGGGGAACAAGGAGCATAGTTTGGCGGAAGGAAATTCCCGGTTCTCTCATAGGTGTAGCGGACTTGTATGTTCTTGAACCGTCGATTCCAGAAATATGGATTGGCGAACTCAGTTTGAAGGCAAATATCGTCTTCCAGTAGGCAATGCGTTGCTTCCATGTTTCTTCAACAAAGAGAGTGCCCGTGTGCGTGCATGTCGAAATGGGGCAATCTGACAAAACCTACTGTAGCAGCAATAGCGCCGTAGGGATGAAGGTTTTCTTCTATTGGAGACATGCACAAAGCACAAGTTTAGACATTGATTGGAGGTAAACTTCCAATAAGTGTGTAATAATGGATAACATATAATTGTATATATACATATGTTACATGTGCAGTAGAAACCATGAGGTGACCTCCTCGCAGACCTATGCGTGCAGTGTAGAGAATTTGTGTGAAGAAACTTGTTTGGAACCACAGCTACTAGGCTCAGAAGACTTCAAACTATTGGGATGGTTGGTAGTTCTTAGCTGTACCATATTTGTTATATAAGTATATAGAAACTAGAATGAACTTGAGAATTTGTTTCTAAAGTCTCCTGCCGGCTTCAGTGTCTACTTAAGGGAGGGTGCCTGTGTTCTTCTAAAATAGGAGTCAGATGAGTTTGCCAACACCGGCATCACAGTAAAGGGGCTAACACTAGCAACCTACAAAAATGGGCGTTGTTTGTCCCCCTGACTCGAAACCACCAGTCAATCTCTACAAAGACAGACAAATTCAACAACAACAACAACAGCGAACCTGGCAGCCACACAGCGAACCGAGCGTTTCTGGAGGCAAACCAAGGCCGTCCATGTTTGCCGTCCATTATTTGTGCAGAACAAATAACCATATTGTAACGTGTCCTTGTGAGACGGCGATGTTGGAAAATCATGGGCACGTGTAATCAAAGAAGGGCTGAGACCTGACCAAAGAGAAAAAAAAGACAAGATATCCATTGGTAGCAAGGCAGAAAGCACCAGAAAAGGACAGAAAACACAACCAATGGAAGGATTCCAAATGACAAAGTGTCACTGTTTTGTTGGAGTTCCAAGGCTTAGGATGGAGGGTGATCAGTTTTCATTCGATGTTTTGGCATCCCGTTTGTGTCGCTTCTTGGTATCCGCTGCTCTCTTTCAATCCGTTTGTTTCACAGGGAAGCCAGTCATGCCAGGGAAAAGAGCGATCAGTTTTTCGACCTTCTGAAAAGGGGTTGTGCAGGTGTCCTTGACAGCAATCTGATCCGGCTTAACAAGACCAAGTCTAACGTTTGCATGGTGATTGGGGATAGTATCAGGAATGGAAATACTGTGTACTAGTTTAACAAGGGTAAAAATACAAGTTGATCTCCACGTTGGGGTTTTGCCACGCAGAGAAGTGAGCCGTCGACGGGATCAGAAGGGAAGAGATTGGTGGTCACTTTGAAGAGCAACACATTGACATACATTGACCATATAGGTTCCAAAATCCAATGACAGGTTCCAACATAGACGGGTTTCGGTTTGGGTCCCTTCAACAGTGCGCATGTTTTTGCATCTCAGAACGCTTTCGGAATAGGAGAAGCCTGCTGAGTGTTTTTTTCGGGGGGTTTGGTTGGAACGAGACAAGCAAGGTTTAAATGGGGCGGGATAGATATTTGTTTAGGAAATTCTCTCTGTGCAAAGCTCAAAACGCCCTTCCGGCCGGACGCCCAGAGCGCCAGGCACCAACACCTTTGACCGTTGGGAGATGCGCATCCACAAGCGCTTGATCGACCTGCATTCTCCATCCGATGTGACTTGGGCGCCTGGTGTGGTTGTTGGAAGGGAAACTACTCTGAGATGTGACAGAAACCAAGCCACAGCACCTATAGTTGTTGACAGTTCCTTGTTCAGCTCAACCAGTGTATGAGCTTGTCTTCTGACTTTGAGGATATCCTACAAACTCGCAGTGTTTGTTTTTACATCCCAGCGGAGTGCCTTTCCTTCAATGCACAAAGCCTTCCGCAGGGCGCTTGCTTTCATTTTCCTCGCTTGCATCGAAACAAGGTCGTCGCTAGCTCCTCCAAGGTGGAGGTCTCCAAGGAGAGACGGTTCCAATACAGGCAGAAAATGACAATGAGAAAAAGGCCAAAGATGTATCCCATTTATCAGTTAGTTGGACATGCACACCCAAATTCTCACGAGGAGTTCCAGATATTGATCCATCTTCCCACATACAATGTGTATTAAGCCAGTGTACGTTGTTATTCTTCTACGTTCTTTTGGGGTGTGATTTACCCTCCTAAGTTTGCAATCCACTTCTCACCGAAGAGGATTGGTCACTGTACCACGGTGGCCATCGCGTGGCCGGGGTCAGTTCGGGTCACACCCGGATCGCCATGGATCGCCTGGGTGACACGCCACACGCCGCGCGCCGGTCACAACATCACCGAAAACGGCTCTCCTCCCGAGGTGGTGAAGCAGATTACCTCCATTTCCATCGAGCCACTGGGCAGATGGACGTCGAACATGACGGATTTCCGCGTAACATTCGGGTGTGTTCGCATGTGTTCTCTAGACTCCAAACGGTCACGCTGTAGAACACCTGCGTTTCTTTGGAGGGGAGAGGGGTGTGTGTGTGTGTCACGCGGAGGAGGGCGCCTTTTTAGATAATTGAAAACGAGACGCTTGAGGGATGATTCTGTATCAACATAGGGAGACCTCCCAGCCAGAACCCCTCAAAGAAAAAACGCCAGGGCTTCCCAACTGTCAGACACCCACCGGAAAAAACAGGCCAAAACTCGTCTCGGGAGACCCGTTCACCGGTCACATCTTGGCTCAAATTTTGGCGTCGACTCAAAGTGGCTCTACTGAGCTACGGAGGTCGATGTTGCTTTCACGGTTATTGCCAGGCAGCCACTCTTTGGTTTCTGCGTTCTTCGCGGATCGGAAGCATGGTCTTCCACGAGAGTGAGGGTCTTGGAAGAGCTTCATCGGAAGGGGAGCATCACACAGTGGCTCGGAACAAAATAAAAGAGAAACGGGTTCACTCTTGGCATCTATGCTTTGGTTTGGTTCTCTATTTAGGATCAGGGTGGACAACTCACTTTGTTGGTCTTGCCTGCACATAGATTTTGGAGGTCTTCCAATCGAATCTTCAAGCTCTGTCCTGCGGCGTCTTTTCGCTGCGAGACAGGGGTACTTCGGGCAGGACGTTCATGTCCTGAATCTGGGGGCAATTTCAGTTTTGTATATAAGTTAGTGAGACCTTAGTGTGGCCAGAACATTAATATGTTGTGTCTGACAAACTTGATGTAAGGCACATCTGGGAGCAGCGGAGCTTTGGCTTCTGCAAGGAGCAGTCAGCTGTCCTCAGGATTTGCAGATCCAGCACGAGGAATCTGTTTCCTCAACTTTCCCAGAGACTTCATTTGTGCTTTTCACTGTTTTTTGTGGATGTCGGAGCCACACGAAAGAAATCATCCAGAAGACTATGTTC